TACACCCTGAGCCAGAGGCAGATGCTCAACCACCCAGGGGCCCCTGCAAACTGAATTGGACAAAGAGAAGTAAATTATGAAAATGTGACAAGACACAGCGGGTTGGGCTAGGGCAGTTAGTGGTAGAAAAGTAACTAGGAAGATAAGGGTTTAACAAGACTTATTTGTTCTGATTTTTCTTGGCCTCAACTCCAGGTCTCTGTAGATAAGAATGTTGCTTTCCTTCTGGTGTAGGGAGTTCATCATCCGATGGGGTTTTATCTCCTGCTTTCAGGAAGAAAAAGGGGAAGTCAGAGGGCTCTTACAATGCTGTGTGTCAAGTGAGCCTTTGGGCCACCCTTCATGGCCGCTGTTGACCACCATGTATTTTTATTTTTAAAATATTTTATTTATTCATGAGAGACGCAGAGAGAGAGGCAGAGGCAGAGGGAGAAGCAGGCTCCACGCAGGGAGCCCAATGTGGGACTTGATGCCAGGTCTACAGGATCACGCCCTGGGCTGAAGGCGGTGCTAAACCGCTGAGCCATCCGACCACCACGTATTGAGCTGGCCCCTGACACCTAGGTCCAGCGCTTATACCGTCCTGTGCTCCAGTCTCTTATCTGCTTAGGTAAATGAGAAACATGGGCTCTGTTTCGTTTTGTTTTTTAAACTACTGGCTCCTCATCTGTAAATGGGGATAATAATAGTCCTTGTCTGGTAGAATTGCATTAAATGAGATGAGGCAAATAGAGACTGTTACTTAGAAATGACTTAGTAAATGTTACTGGGGGGAGGGGAGTACGTTTTCCTTTGCCCTTCTTGGTTCTTGGCCAAGACACCCCTGTGATAAAAAGACACATTCACAGGAGAAAAACAAGTTTAATAATGTGTATACCTCCTGTATGCCTGTTTTTCCTCCAGGAGAAATTCCAAAAAGACCCTATGCCACCACCTTAAACATTTCCAACTAAAGACAAAGATATTGGGGCTGGGGGGGGGGTCAGTTATGGGAGGTTACCAGGAGGAACACTGTGAAAAGGGTAAACGTTATGAGTTAAGATAAGGGTCTCTAGAGATTTAGACTCGTCTTTCTCTTCCTGGTACAGAAAGGGAGACACTCTTGCAATGAAGAGTTCTCAGTTTACTACTGTAAGTGTAAAAGGGTAACTTGTGCTCAGTTTTCAGAGTTTCACGTGTGTCTGCTGTTCGTTTAAAAACAACCAGCTTAAAATGATGTGCCAAAGAGACTTATCTTGGGGTGGTATATATTGCTCCCCTTTGTGATTAAAAAGAAATAAAACGGGTTGCTGCTATAGTTGATTTTCTCCTCCCCCTTCTAGTTAGAAACCTCTGTTTAGAAGTAACCCTGATCAAAATGATCTGTATTTAAGAAGCATCAAGGAAAAAAAAAAAAAAGAGAGCCTTGGCTTGCACGTTAGACAACTTGAGTTGAATTTTCCTGCAGCTAGAGCTGGCAGGGTTAATGTGCTCCAGCTGAGAAGCCCTGCTGGTCCCTTCTGGCAGCCCCAGATGCAGATGCTGTTATATTAATTACAAAAGAAAACCCGATTAACTCAGAAGTCCTTAAACTATCTGTGAGGCAGCTGCTCCAGCTCTGAAGCAGGTTTTCTTCCTTCCTCCTACTGTCAGGCCACAGTTTGGAATCTCTTCTTTATAGAGCTGCTGAAACTGCACTTCTCCGTAGGTCCTCAGAGCCCCTGGTTAGTTCAGTCAACTTTTTGATCTGTTGTTATAGTAGTCCAGGGAGAGCTAGCATGATTAAATTCACAGATAATTTAAGATAAAAACAACCAGCCCAACCATCCGTCCCCCTCAATGGTTTTTCTTGCACCAGTTAAAACCTGATGGCGTCCTGGAATTTTAGAACTGGAAAGGATGTTAAAGATGATGTCATGCACCTCCCTGAGTTCACGGATGAGAAATCCAAGGCCAAGAAAACTCGAATGAATTGGCAAAGTCACAGAGCTAGTGAGCAGTGGAGCCTGGGATTCACAATCTGCCCTTCTTCCTCATGCTTTTTCTCTTGCATGCTTTGCTCCTCCCTCCTGGACCATTTGCCTGGGAGAGGCAGGGAGGGAAACGTTGACTCTTTCTGTTTGTGCCCTTATTCAAATCTGGTAGACCTATGCCAGAGACCTAAAAGTGGAAAAGCTAACGATTAGTGGTGGAAGCGAAGAGCTTGAATAGTGACGTACTGAAAAATGATGGCAGTACCCATATTGCAGATTTTCTTCAGTCCACTATTTGCATGAAGAACCCCAGTGGAATGCATGGAAATGAAAATTAAAACTGGGCTCAGCACCAGCCCCCTCTCCCATGGTCCTGGTCCATGGTGGTTTATTTGTAGTAGCTGTTTTTGTCACGACAGATGGAGGGGGGGGTGATCATTTGGGTCAGATGATTAACGGGGTGTGTCTCCTGTGGTTTTGGCTGATGCAGCATGTTTTACTAGCTTTCCTATAGTTGACATTTTGTCCCAGAGGTTTTGTGATCTCACCCTCCGGTCCTGTAAAATGATGAGCTGGTGTTAGTTCTATGTCACCCACTCTTCACGTTCATTTTAGCTTCTTTTTAAAATTATATATCAACTTATGTTGTAGGAGTTATGAAGGTCGTCAGTGTGGGCTTATTATACCTGGGCGCCTCTCTGAGCATCTGAGCGGCACTGGAAAAAGAGGAAGGGATAAGAAAGGATGGCTGAAAGTGATTCAGTCTGGTGAATCTACCTTGCTCACGGCTCACGCTGACACCATTGTAGTTAAATTCTTTGAGGTGAACTGAGAGGTCCTATTCTGTTGTCCACGTCCATTCTGTGTTGAGATGAAGGTTTTTGGGAATGACCGTTGCCCCTGGACCTTTCTGAGTACTTAGTGGAACTACTTACAGCTTTCAATAGATAATTCTCCACAGTAAATGGGTTCTTACATAGAGCAAACAAGTGCATAACTTGAGTACTTACTGTCAGTCACTGTGTTAGGTGTTGAGGATACAGAGAAGAGTATGATGGTTCTTCCTGCTTTCGATCATTATAAATGGAAAACCAGAGTAGACTCTGGTAAGTGTTGTTTAGTTGTGAACAAGATATGAAGGGACTCAGGACTAGCCCATTGCTACTTGCTCAGTGGCCACACAAGCAATTGGCTACATCCCCTTGCTTTTATTTATTTATTTTAGAGATTTTATTTAAGTAAACTATGCACTGAATATAGGGTTTGAACTCACAACCCCCAAGATCAAGAGTTGCATGCTCTGCTGACGGAGCCAGCCAGACACCCCTGTCCCCTTGGTTTTATTTTATTTTTTTTATTTAGAGAGAGAGAGACAGACAGACACAGGAGGGGGGAGAAGCAGGCTCCATGCCAGGAGCCTGATGCAGGACTTGATCCCGGGACTCCAGGATCGTGCCCCGGGCTAAAGGCAGGTGCCGAACCGCTGAGCCACCCAGGGATCCCTGTCCCCTTGGTTTTAGATTGTGGGTCAAAGATTAGACCAGTGGTCCGGTGTGTTACTCTTGTGGTTGGTAAATGCCTTGAATACAATTAGGCACTCTGTTACCATTCCTGGCCTTTTCAAAGGAACTGGTCTCTTTCCCAGAAGAGTCGATTTCCTTGTCTTGGTATCCTGATGTACATAATACATAAGCAGGCCAGGTGAGGGACTTACAGACAGACACGAAAGGACGGGCTTAATGTAATGCATGGAGGGGTTTGGGTGAAAGCAAAACCTTCTTGAAACCTTTTGGTGGTGCCATTTGTGGAAAAGAAGGAGGTGTTTGAGGATTTGTAACAGGATAGATAGATACAAACTGAAGTAGAAGAGCCTCTTAATTAAATCAGACCTCCCTTTCACAAATAGGGTATGGATAGTTTAACAGCCCAGGGCAAAGTGATGAAAATGAATACTTTTCGGTTGGTGCTACACCAGGTTTCAGTAAGGTTCTGTTTGGCCCAGAGATCAGGCTTCTTACAGCCTAAGAACCCTGTGTCTGTGTCTTCATGAATAAACACCGGGGTTGCCTGAATCACACACAGGAGTGGCCCCTGAACCAAATAAGTGCCTCTGAACCAAATGATTGCATTCAGAATCTGACACTTTCAGGTCAATGCGTTCCTCGTTCCTTTTCCCAGACAGCAGTTTCTCCTACTTTAGGAGGCTTTGTCTTCTCTCTTGAGCACCATTTAATGTGTTTGTGGAAGCTCGCCGTTTAGATGAGTGTGGTTACCCTAAGTGGATGTTTCTGAGCCAGATCGTGTTCTTCCTCGATTTACCTGGATTTTCCCCTAACAGGCAGTTCCTCCCTTTGTCTTAACTCAGTGGGACATGGCAGCTGGGATGCTGCCACCAGCTATTAGAGATATGAACTGGAAAAGATTCTGGAAATAATGCAAACTCAAGTAACATCGTATCGTGATGTGTGTATATGTAAAGATGAGTTCTCACACACATACCTAGGAAAGATTAGCTCACACGTTTAGTTATAAAAGATGTCATAAATGAGGAGAGTAACCAGCTAAAACTGCAGATGGTAGAGACATACAAAGGAGCCTTCTATGTTCAAGTGTTAGGTCTTCTGTCACGAAGGTTTTCATTTTGACATCTTTAGGTACGGTTTCTCCTTGGATTCACGTCCTAGTTAGTGGAGTCTTTAGTGGCCCTGTCTGTTTAAGGACCTCATGATTGTAATGGAGTCCTTGTGTACGTGGGCTGGTCATTCACTGGATGAAAAAGGAGCGGGGAGGGATCAGGTCACTGACACCTTTCTAGGTAGAGACAGTTGCTCTGGGGACAAGTCAGGAAGGGGACTTCTGTTTGATATTTGAGGAGTCTTTTCTGACCAAGATGTTTTCCTGATGTCCCCTCCAACCAAGAGCTCTCTAGAAATTTCTAACCTGGGGCCCTGCCATCCTGACTGGGTCTCTGGGAGAGTCTCCGTCTGCCCCTCCTCACTGTCTCTCTGTACTCCTTTTTCCTTCTCCATCCTCCCCTTCCCCAACCAGGCCAGCTGAGCTGCATTGCCTTCCCACCTAAGGAAGAGAAGTACCTCCAGCAGATTGTGGACTGCCTTCCCTGCATCTTGATCCTCGGCCAGGATTGTAATGTCAAGTGCCAGCTGTTGAACCTGCTGTTGGGGGTGCAGGTGCTTCCCACCACCAGGCTGGGCAGTGAGGAGAACTGTAAGCTTCGACGCCTCCGCTTCACCTATGGGACTCAGACTCGGGTCAGCCTGGCACTCCCCGGCCAGTATGAACTAGTTCACACGTTAGTTGCTCACCAGGGCAACTGGGACACCATCCCTGAGGAGGATTTGGAGGTCCAAGAGGACAGTGAGGACGCTGCCCATGTTTTAGCTGAACTGGAGGTGACGATGCACCACGCTCTCTTACAGGTACCAGTCTCGGATTTATACAACAATTGCTCACATATGTACCAGCTTTTCCTGATTTGAGCTTTCTCACAGAGTGATTTGGCAATATATAGTCTGGGCTCTGAGCATTAGCTGATGGAGCACATAATCTAGGAAGTTGAAAAACAGACAAGGCCTGAACGCAGCAGGACCCTAAGCTATTCACTTATCGCCTTGCCCCCTTATCTCCCTTTCTACAATAGAAGGAATGTGCTGCTTGCATCTCGACAGGCTTTTACAGAGTAATTATGATCAGAACCAGAAATCCTTTTTCATTTCTCAGCAGGAAGGCATTGCTAGAATTGTCTACAGCCATCCCTGTCTGAAAGGAATGGTAAGATGGTGGATTATTCATGCTCCTAATCAAGTTGAGACCAAGTAAAGAATTCTGTGAGTTTTTCCTTAGATCTAGCCATTATTTACTAAGTGGGACAGATCATATCTCCTACTTCCTAAGGAATTGGAGAACCTGGGGACAGATCTGGCTCAGCGTAAGGAGATAGGGAGATCCTATCATCTTAAAGGATATCTTCTTGACTTCTCTCTTGAAGTAAACTCCTGAGGGAGAGCACAGCTCTTGTGGTGTCTTCTAAGAGATCTTATCGACTATCTGGTATTCATATCTCCACTTACGAAGGATTCAACTCTTGTGCTAGGCTTCCTCTCCTCTACAGCTGGGGTCGGGCTATGTGATTAGACTGGGGATCAGCAAAAAATGTGACTATATCAGGGGTCAGGAGTGGGTAAGATGAAAAGAATGCAGACCTGCTCAGAACAGAGTCCCATCACCTTGATTAGCTGTGCCAGGAAGGAAGGGCTAGGTTAACAGGACTAGAAAATTTTGTTTCTTCTTTCTTACAACCTCGGCACCTACCCCTGTTCTAAAAAGCCTGATCTCCCAGTCAATGAATGAGTTCTTTGGTTGTGGCCATGGCCTCTGACACTCTAGAACTAGAAACTGTCATCTCATTTCCTTCCGGAGACCAGATTTCTTTTATCTTGATAAATGCTAGAGGGGCTATGTACACAAGCCAGCATTTTCTTGGAGCAGAGTTTCAGTGGTACTTTCCTCCGTTTTCAGAGTGAGAGCTCGTACTCCTTAAGTCCAGGATGCTGAGAGGGTTCTTGCATAACGCTGACAAATAGCTCTGACAGTAATCCTTGTTTTTTGACTGAGGCTGCTGGGTTGGCTATGAACTTCTTTGTAGTTCGTAAGTATTTAAGCCATACACAATCTCTCTGACATACTGGTCCAATCTGGTTCCTTCAGGTTCCAATGGCTTTCAGACTTTTCTAGAGTTTCTTTCACTGGGGTCACCTGGCTGGCTCAGTTGGTAGAGCATGATCTTGATCTTGGAGTTGTAAGTTTGAGCCCCACATTGGGTGTAGAGGTTACTCTAAAAAATTTATATATATGTGTGTGTGTGTGTGTATGTATATGTACATATGATTTCATTCAGTGTAAGAAATAATATTTTCTAACAGGATCTAGTACGTATATACAATATACATTAAAATAACATTTCAGGGATCCCTGGGTGGCGCAGCGGTTTGGCGCCTGCCTTTGGCCCAGGGCACGATCCTGGAGACCCGGGATCGAATCCCACGTCGGGCTCCCGGTGCATGGAGCCTGCTTCTCCCTCTGCCTGTGTCTCTGCCTCTCTCTCTCTCTCTGTGTGACTATCATAAATAAATAAAAATTAAAAAAAATAACATTTCATGAAACGATACTTTTACTTTTTATAAAACACACTATTGTCTATTTTATTTGATTTCATTTTTAAAAAATGATCGTAGCTGCTACGTTCTGTGTTACTGCTTAAAAAACACTGTTAGTAGCTTTCCTGACTGCTTGCTATAGGTTGGGTGGTGGTTCTTCCTGTTCTTGCCTTTTAAAAAACAATCTTGGAATGTGAACAAAGCCATGTGCAGGAGAAGCACATCACTTGATTGATTTCTCTGGGTCCCTTCATTTTATTGGTTTTAATTTTTAATGCTCATTTACTTTTGTTCCATGAATTGAGGCAATTGGAGCAAGTGCAAGGCAGGAGAAGGAGAGCCGTTCCCCAGGCGCACATCTGAGCACACAGCTCACCGGGGAGAGCTCCCCTGGCCTGCTCCTGATGTGTGTGAAGCACTGCACTGAGCTCCTGGTTGAGGAGGAGGCTACTTGGTTGGGAAGTCAGTATACCAGATCAGCTTTCTCTCTGTACAGCTGAAATACATATTTTCTTTCTTGAGGAATATTCTTCTCTTGTCTTGAGGAATTCTCTAGCCTCTTATGTTCTGTTTCATGTGGTTTTTGAGACTTCCTTAGCCAGTATTTCTCCGCATCTGCTTTATTCTCCAGTGGTTTTGATGTAGAAATAGCAACGGGCCCCAACGGTTCTAAGTTTGGAACCCCTTGATGCCAGGCCTCAGGGAAGCCTGAGTAGCCTTTGTGGAGCTCAGGCCCTGCTCTCCCACTACAGTCGGGCTCCTGTCTTCATTACACTCATGGGCCTCAGTGCTGGGGGCTCACAGCCAGGGGCTCTTCCTAGCTAATCTTGAAGATTTTTGTGTCAGTGAAAAAGATCTTTTTGTTTAATTCCAGCTATATTTAGGACCAGTGAGATAGCTCTAAACAGACATTGCATTTGGTTTGCAAAGAGGGTGGTAAAGAAAGGAAAACTTAGCTCAAGGAAACCAAGACTGAATTAGGGGAAATGAGATGTTCATTTTCAACTGTCAGATTATCAAAGCAGAGTTTCCCACTACCCCCTTATACAATGGTCATTCTTCTGATACGGTGCTTTAAAGGCCTCATAAATTAACCAGTTTCAGTGTGTTCCAGAATAGGCTAACCCATGTGGACCCACAGTGCTTGGTATTCCCAGCTTTTTAGCTCTGGGTCTCCTGAGATTTTCAGTTCATAATTCAACAGCAGAGGAACACCATCACACTGTTAGTTTCTGTAACCTCATTTCATGTGGAAACATAGTAATTTTCCAACTGGCAGCACATTTCACCATTGACCAGGCTTACTAGGTCTGTCTCCACATATATACTTCCCCTACCCCCTACCTGGCATGTTTACTACCACCCCTTCTTAGGAGTCCAGTGGAACACGAGTGTCTGCTTTAAGTTGCCTCAGTCTGATATGTGTGTGTGTGTGTGTATTTTTCCCATGAACACCCATAAGAAAAGGGAGTATCAAGGAGCTGAGATGATGAAACGTTCGCAGTGTGAGGGGGCACTCCTGTAGCCTGCCTGTGGTGTTTCACTTGTGTTAACTTACAGAGCCGTCAGTTGTTCTGCTGACCTGTTTATGTCCACCCTTTGGACAGATGTACATGTCACCTGGCAGCCAGACTGCCACACGCTGACACGACTCTTTGCTCAGAATGATGTCTGATGGGGTATCTTTGAGGAAACTGAGGTAGACTGTCATGTTTGCAAGTAAGTCTGATGACTTGCAAGTACATTTTATTTTTAACTCTAACTAGTTGGAATAGTAAAGTTTTCTCTTTATAACCCTCAGTACTGGGCAGCCCAGGTGGCTCAGCGGTTTAGCGCCACCTTTAGCCAGGGGCATGATCCTGGAGACCCGGGATCGAGTACCGTGTCAGGCTCCCTGCATGGAGCCTGCTTCTCTCTCTGCCTGTGTCTCTGCCTCTCTCTCTCTGTGTCTCTCATGAATAAATAAAATCTTAAAAAAAAATAATTACATTATAACCCTAGTACCCTCAGTCTCAGTCAATAACTGGCAATGGAAATAATCTATTTTTAATATCATACAGACATTGGTACTTCTAAGTTCTCAGCCATTAATACTTTCACAACCCAAAATTGTTATAAAGGATTTTAGTTAAAAATGACAAAGGTTTATGCAAGACTTTAACCCCCAAATTTATTCAACATTGTTGCTAGAAAACTAGCCTCTCTCAATTTTTATCTGTTCATTGGCATTTATGATGGTGCCTATAAAACTAAATCTGTTGTGTGTTGTTCACCTTTAGTTAGATACCATATCTTTTCTTGAATGTCTCTAGATTGAAAGATAACAGTTGATTGGTAAAAAGGCGGAAAGAAGGCTGTGTGAAGGTCCTTGGGGCAAGAAGATAACCTTTAAGAGGAGATAGTATATGGAATTGGGTAAAAAAATGGCCCTTCCAAGGGAAAAGACCCAGAGTTGGGGTAATATGTATATGATGGAGAATGGCACTCTCGAAATACAATTACAGTAAAGAAACTGTGATTATACGGGGCAAAGAGAAAGGGGAGCTAAAGTGTTATGTTAAAAAAGGGTATTGGAAGTTCAGGCAAATGCGAAATTATAAATTCCTTCTAGGCAGTGAGCCTGTACCCTTCATATTTAACATCTCTCTTGGCTCTCCCCGAACACATACTAACAGATGTAGTAGAATATAAGCACCTGCGTATCTGCGTATGTTGCAGGTTAATTTCTCTATTAAGGAGGTTGGTGGTTTAGAGGCAAGTTTTGTTGTTGTTGTTGTTTTAAATCCCTCTGCTCACTAAAAAGTAAAAAAGAACAGCTTGGGGCAGCCTGGGTTGCTCAGTGGTTTAGCTGGTTTAGCACTGCCTTCAGCCCAGGGCGCGAACCTGGAGACCTGGGATCCAGTCCCACGTCAGCTCCCTGCAGGGGACCTGCTTCTCCCTCTGCCTATGTCTCTGCCTTTCGCTGTCTCTCATGAATAAAAAATATATATAATCTTAAAAAAAAAAAAAAAAAAAGGACAGCTTGAATCTGAGGCTGTGTTTTTTCAGTTTACCACCAGTGATTCATTTGTGGCCTCCCAAGGTTAGCTCTTGGGGAGAAAGTCTGGCAGAGGTTATAGTCTTAATCTTCCTCTCTTGTGTTGTTTCTGGGGTCCCATCTATCTCTTTCTTACACCCAGAGGCTTCCCTGTTTTCACCACCTCAAAGATCTGTGTGTGTTTCACCTTGAATCAAAGATGGTAGGGGTAGGGGATTCAGAGACT